AAAACCTTCCAAGAATTGGTGTGAGGAAGTGAAGTCACAACTGTAGCCTCGGGTACTTACCTTATTCTGCTTTTTTCCCTCTGTGTTTCAATGCTAACAGGCATTGATACTGTGAAACTCACTAGGTTAGTCCTTTGGCTAGGTGTATACTCTCCTCGGCTAAAATAGGGTTGCTAACATTTGCGTACTGGATACAGCATTTATTGTGCCTACATCTAAAACTGTAGTTTCTTCGTTTTGCATGTCTTTCCTCCAGGGAAAAAGCGATTGTTGGTCAAGTCTGCTTATATTACATTTCATCATGTTTACCAGCTGCTTTGTATGAGTAATTGTGATTAAACATTGCCAAAGTTGTGTGATGAGTTAAACACTGTTACACAATATAATATGCCCTTGCTGACACTTTTACAGCCACCATCCAAACTAAATTATGCCCATAACTGAGGTTTGTGTTTTGAATTTAATTCCAACTAAGAGTCATCTGGAGTTACTACTCAGCTCTAAAAGCTATTTGAATATTAAATATGTAAAAGGGCTTGTTGCAAATAGGGGAATGTATCCAACCTATCACCTAGAAAGCAAAAAAACATTTTGCAAACCTGATGACCTGTTATAGTCTCATATTTTGACATAGAATGGCACACTTTTCTAAATTCTGTTCCCTAAGATGTTCATATAAGCGAGACCAGTGTAAAGGATGATTCAGGGATGACAAATTGTGTACAACGGCCCCCGGAAGTCAGCATCGGCAGGCGAGTTATGGACACAGAGTAATGTCCCCATTGGATTTCGATATTGCAGAAAAATATGCCCTGTGGCCAACACAGATTTAACACGTTTTTTCCACCAGGATAATAGTATACATATAACACCCCTTTGTGATTTTTTAAGCGCAAATGCAGTCACCCGAATTAAAAAGCTAATGGTAGGCTAAAAACTAACTACGACGTCACCACTGCTAAATTAAAGGCAGATTCATGATGATGTTTAGTAGTCACATTTAGTCATTTTTTTGCATCCGCCATTTTTTATGACGCCTAGAAGATTCGGACATTCGCAAGTGAGGTGTTTGGTTTACGTAATTTATTTTGTAGAATAAAACGTGAAAATCTCTACAGCTTGTTTTAAACACAGAGCTTATTTCAGGCATCTTAAATTGCTTATATTGTCAGACCAACTGTCAAAATTCCCAAAGATTATAGCATACTTTAAATTGTATTAAAACAGCACTAGCAAATTAAAGTGGCACTATCTGAAAAGTTAGCTGTTGTTGTCAATGATTGGGAACAAAAGTAAATAACTTTAAATATCAAGATTTCACAGAGTGCTGCGCCTGAGGCCAAATTGGAAAACACACCTTGAAGTCTGAACAAATACAAAGACAGCTTATTTTAAATCAACAGAGACTAATGTATACAGACTAAGCAAAGATTACCTGCTGGGATTATATTTTGGCTTTGCATTTCCCTTTCTGTAGTGGGGATGGGAGAAGCAATGTGTATTATGTGCTGTGTAAGCCTGTTTGTTATTGATTAGGTTTAGCCAGATAGCTGCATTAGAATCTTATGGATAAGCAGCACAAGGCCAATACTAATTCCCCCTTCATATGAGCTTTCTCAGGCCTTGTGAAAAGCATCTCATAGTGTGTGTGTGTGTGTGTGTGTGTGTGTGTGTGTGTGTGTGTGTGTGTGTGTGTGTGTGTGTGTGTGTGTGTGTGTGTGTGACACCAGACGCACTTTACCGCTCGTCCTTGTTGAGAAGAAGCAGCGTGCAGTCATAAACCAAGACAGGATAATTCTTAATTAGCCCCTCGGGGAAATGGTCTGTACGTCATGAGAGCCAGAAAAGCGCTGAGAAGTTTAAGTACACACACATAATGTAGTACGCACATGTTCTGTGTTTGTGTGTACTGAACGTGTTTAATACAGTCTTTACTCGCTCAATTTTTTGTGAGTTCATGCAGCCATTCTGTTCAATTCTGTATATTTTAGAATGTCAGGAAAGTCATAAAATCATGACAGATGGATATGGTTTTGGTCTCGTCATGGGATTTGTCGAGAACAAAACACACCATTGTTATTCTTTTTTGTCATTGTCTTTATGTATTACATTTGCAGTATTAAATTAATTTAGAAAACCTGCAGTTCATCCAAAAAGTCTCAACCTTTGGAGGATATATTGTAGCATTTCCTACTTAATTTTCCTTCATGTGCATTAATGGAGTGTGAGATGGGCCGGAGAATCGGAGCAGTACTGCAGTCGCTTTACCGCACCATTGTGACGAAAAGGGAGCTGAGCCAGAAGCAAAGCTCTCTGTCCACCGAGCCATTTTCGTTCCTACCCTCACCTATGGTCATGAAGGATGGGTCATGACCGAAAGAACGAGATCGCGGATACAAGCGGCCCAGATGGGTTTTCTCCGCAGGGTGGCTGGTGTCTCCCTTAGGGATAAGGTGAGAAGTCATCCGGGAGGGACTCGGAGTTGAACCGCTCCTCCTTCGCGTCGAAAGGAGCCGGTTGAGGTGGTTCGGGCACCTAGTAAGGATGCCACCTGGGCGCCTCCCTAGGGAGGTGTTCCAGGCACGTCCAGCTGGGAAGAGACCAAGGGGTAGACCTAGGACCAGGTGGAGGGATTATATCTCTTCGCTGGCCTGGGAGCGCCTTGGGATCCCCCAGTCAGAGCTGGTTGATGTGGCCGGGGAAAGGAACGTTTGGGGCTCTCTGCTGGAACTGCTACCTCCGCCACCCGACCACGGATAAGTGGGAGAAGATGGATGGGTTAAAGGGAGTGTGTATTTTTGATATGTATTTGAGATGATTCTGTTCAGAATGAATCTGCTGAAATGGCTGATTTACTGTATTTCGTAAAGGCTGTGATGCTACACTGGAAAGATTGAAGGAAATATATTTCCCCTGTAGGTTCATTGGCCTGGCACTAGATGGTATTTACTGTTTTTTTCACGTGTGTGGTTTATGGTTATTAGTGTTGATCAACAAAAGTAGTTTACTGAATTATCCATGAAGGAATAGAATTCTACAGTCAATTTTGGATGTACCAAATAGAAAATGAACCCAATATTAATGATTAGAAGCAGACAACTTTGCATAATAAAAGCAGATCAAGGCATAAAACACATTCTATGTCAACAGTAGATCAAGTTCCTGAGAACCCATCATGCTCTCATAACACAACAGGTGTCCCTGGCTGCTGTAAAGCTTTGGATACTGCAGATTGTTTCACTTTCTCGTATATTGAACCTGGCCACTAGTGGTATGTTGAGTTGCAGATTATATAGCAGGCTTCATTCAGTAAAGGAGGAAGTTTCCGCTTCCCCTGCTGGTCTCATTTCCATATGGCCTTGTGTGCCCCTGCTGGAAACCACACTTCAATGCCTTTTAGTGAACCAGAAGACTCAGTGGTTTTAAGAAACTTCCACTAGAGTCTTGAATAGAGGATTTCTAAAGAGTTGCATGGGCTACTAATTCTGTAGGGCTGCCTGCAACTAATGTTTGTTTTTATTTTCAATTAATCTGACAATTACCATTTTGATTGGTCTGTTTGTCATCAGAAAATGCTGAAAAACAACCATTAAAGTACCCCGGAATATTTACCGGTAAATGACTTGATTAGTCCAACCAACCCAAAGATATTCAATGTATAACAAAGATTATACTAAATCAAAGAAATAAAAACTGGAACCTGATTATGTTTTTGACCTTTTTTGATTGATTTATGGTAACAAAAAATCACAATTGTTCCAGATTCATTTTCTATCAATAATATTCTTTTACAATCAATTTAAAAAGGGCCTATTATGCTTTTTGGGGTTTTCCCTTTCCTGTAGTGTGTCTATATAGGTTTTTGTGAAAGGTCTGCAATTATGACAATGTAACGCAATTGTGTAATAGGAAACTAGATTGAAGCGATAACATTTTATTAGGGGTGTAACGGTTCACAAACATTTCGGTTCGGTACGTATCTCGGTTTTTAGGTCATGGTTCGGTTCGGTACGTTTTCGGTACAGCAGAAAAAATTATCACAAAACATAAAATATATATATATTTTTTTTAATTATTATTAAACTGCGAATATTCACTCAAATAAATACAAAATATAATAAAATAAACATTAAGGTGCAGCATTTCGATGAACTGAAATAATCTGTATTTGAACTGTACTGTACTGGTACCTAAGCAGCCAGTTTGACATCATGATTTGCCATTGTATTTTCATATTTTCATGTTCTGGGACAGAGGTAGCAGATACAGCCAGGTAGCGCTTTGCTAACATGGCAACATAAGGATATTTGGCGTTTGTAATAGCTTTGGCTCGGTCTGAACTTCTTGCGAGTGGTGGAGGCTTAAATGCTAGTGGGAGTTGGGTTTGCACTTCAGTCTTTTTTCTTTTGGTACCGGTGATATTCACGTTCGGGTGATGCCTTTTCAAATGAGTGTGCAAGTTTGATGTATTGCCAGCCGCGTAACCAATTTTAGTTGAACAATGCCGACAAACAGCTTTGTTTCGGTCCATCTGTCTTTGTCCGTCATCCTTGTACGTAACTGCGAAACCAAAATGTTCCCAAACCGGAGACTTCAATGATGTTGGAGGATTTTCGAGCTCAACTTTATCTGCGTTCGCCATTTCGACAGTTCCTCAAATTACTGACTAAATTTGAACGCATCCCTGTGACCAGCTCTTATAGTATGCCTCTCGTCCAATGAAATGACTTGGTCGCTCTATGACGCATTGAACCCAATGTGAGCAAATTACTCTGAATGCTGCGACGCAGCACCTGAGATTACTTTCAAAAAGTTGTCCGAATAATTTCGGTACGGGTATGTGTACCGTNTAGTCAAAACCTGCTTTTTTTAAATACGACAATTGGCCAAGACCAAGTCGTTTTTATCTTTTAAATACCTGGAAAGGGTTATTAACGCCTTTGTTACCTGAGGTAACAAAGGCGTTAATAACCCTTTCCAGGTATTTAAAAGATAAAAACGACTTGGTCTTGGCCAATTGTCGTATTTAAAAAAAGCAGGTTTTGACTACGCTGCTGACCTGCTTATCGAATTTAAAAGCGCTATTGAAGGTCACTCCAAGGTTCGTGACAGAGGGGAGGATATTATTTTCGAGGGAGCCCAGAATATCAACCTGGGAGGCTGGAGGCAGTAAAGTACAGTTATTAGCATGTGTATTTATAAGTATGTTTGTTTTAAATGTGGTATCATGCCTCATATGTAAATACAACACAGCTCCTGATTATTGGAACTTGTCACATCTTTATTTTTACATAGCTGCAAACTCAGTCACAGAAAGGTCTGAGGCTAAATCTACAGCGAGTTATGGCAGCAATGGATTTACAGGTATGCGCATGGGCTTCCCAATGTCTGTTATTTGTTTTACTCTATATATATAATTAAGATGTAACAATAAAAGGAATTATGAATCTTGAATGTTATGTACACAATTACGCAGAAGTTGTAGTAATAACTTTGACTCTTCCCAGATGCCTTAAAAGGCCTTGACAGTGACGTGACCAAGATTCCCAAAGCTGAGGAGAAATACGCAGCACCATCGGGGGATAAAACCAGTGTGGGGTCAATGGATCTGAGCAGCGTGCCGGTTCAGGGGAGTAGGGAACAAAGTGGGCCACACGAGAAACAAAAAGCAAGCGGTGAGGAAGGAGTGATGGTGGAGGCTCAGGAGGTTGAACATTTGTCAGGAAAACCAGTTGTTCGTTTGAGTAAAGACAGAATGACTGGTAGTGTCCAAAGAAAGGCAACACCAGGAAGAGTTCATGAGTTGAATGGGATGCTGGCTCCAGGCCCAGGCAGAGTGCCGCTGGATTGGGATAGTTTGGAGTGCCACAATGTCAGACCTGCTCCAGTGGGCATCAGAGGAGATCCAGACTATGATGGTAAGAGCCTGCGCTTATTGAACAAGATGTGTTTTTCCAAGAATTATCTTCTGAACAATTAAAGGGTGAACAATTGTTTTTTAATATTCCTACAGAAACCAGAGAGTTTATGAGCCATGAAATGTATCCAATAGGTAAGAGGAGTTTTCTTCCACAAGTGAATATTGTAAAAACATTGTTTATAACTGATTTATACAGAGCTTTCATGAAAGAATGGTAATTTCTTATGTATGCTTTAGTTCCTCCAGAGCAGAGCCCCAGTACCTTCGCTGTTCCAGCAAAGATCAGAGCCACCGTATGATCAGAGGTGTGTTTGCAATGCATTTTAATGAGACAAATGCATTTCATTTAGTATGTCATCCCTGTCTAATTATTAGACATTTGTTTTTTATAGATCTTGCTTTGTCATTCTGGTATGTATTGCTGAATACCAATTATTTTTCTCTATTTTTCCTGATTCTATTTATTCCTCATAGTGAGTCAGGGGCTGCCATCTGTTGAGTCATAGGAGGCGGACTGGCTGTTTCCCAATTCGGGGGCTTTTTCATCCAAATGTAGATGCTTTTCCTTCTTTTTTTCTTAAATAAATAAACAGGTTTAAAAAAACAAAACGTGTTAGACTTACTAGAAACTGGTTAAAACTGCTGCAGCATGATATTTGGTTGAAGATTGTAGTTTACATTTTAAATCTAAATATACTGAAAATGTGTCTTTTGTCAGATCTCTGTATTTGTTAACTGTCAAGTGAAGATGTGAATATAATCGTGTGAAATACAGAATAAAAGAACAAGTACATAATGCATCTTAATTATTTTCTTGTTTTTAAAATGTAGTTTAATTTACAATTGGTTAAATAGAAAATATATAATTTGAAGACAGCTTAAGATTTACAAACAAGCAAAACAACATAATTAAATCATGCAAAACATATAAATATAACGATTGTTATTACATATAATGCTGCTGGAGTTTAAGGAAGTGTTTTCCAGTTATAGATGCAGCTAAGGCATTGCTGTTTTTTTTAATAGTTCCTTTGTTTCATTTCCTAAACTGCTGAAGATCGCTGTACACATCTGATTGGATTCCATGTAACTCCTACAGAGAAGTCAAAACAAATCATTATGGAAACACAAATGATATGTAGATATAACAGTTTAAGTATCTTTAAGGCTTACATAATGAAACAGTTCTGCTTTACCTGGTAGGGAGATTCTGTGAGTTCTGTTGCCATTTTCTTTGAAACTGATGATGTTGGTGGATTTCTTTTTCCTGTTGAAGAGGGTCCTGTTACTGCCCGTCTGCCATGTAATACCATAGATAGAGCATACTCAAAAATAAGCAGCAATACACAAAGATAGTGCTCACCATCACGAGAATCCCACTTCCTCCTTTTCTTGAGATGAGTTGCAAAGCAGAACACAGAAATCATGATGAAGATGGTCAAGAGGATGTCAGAGGCGATAATGCCAATTACAGAGCCCATATTTATCAGGTAACAAGAACCACAATCTGTAAAAAGGGCAAAGACAAAGAGTTGTAACACATAATCGAAATACAACAACAGAGGCAAATGTTTAAAGCTTTAAAGATACCTTGCTGTCCTTCTGTGGATCCTGAAAGACAGAAAGTTCATTATGTAAACCTTACTTAATAACAACAATGCCTGTGCCTTAATAGCTTCATTATTCACTGTTAAAAACAAATTAAGAACACCACTCACCAAAATACGAACCCACAATACAAAGGGCGTCAGACATCTTCTTTATGTTGGTTTCTGGCAAGAGAGGAAATGAGAGATAGAGGGCCAGCGGTCCTACAGCTCTCTTTCGAAGGGCTGTGTCGATGCACCCATAAACAAAAAGCCAGAGGAGGTTTCATGAAAAACGGTCCTGACTCGCAGCGGTGTGAGGGTTTATCAGCATGTGACAGCATATACAGGAGGAGGAGGGAGTCCTCTGAGAGAAGAGGAAGCGGCTGTTTCTCTGTATTGTCACTTATGTGAGGCTGGCAGGTGTAATACATACAACAAGCAATTCTTCCACTGTCACATTTGATTGAAGATTCAGGCCTTCTTTTTGACTTTTTAAGAGTTTGTTAATTATATAAATTACTGTTCGCAAGAGGTGCCAAGATAAGGAGCTGAATTAGGTCAGTTTCACACACCTGCAGTTTCTGCTGAAATGCATGTGATCATATCATATCACCAAATAAAGCACTTCCTCATGACCTGTGGTTCACAACAGTGGGCGGTTGGCCACAGTCACTGCTAGTCTGTGAGCCAGTGTTAAACCACACGTTTATCTCCAAAGCTGATGTCCTGTCAGCGAAATGAAAGTACTTTCATTGCTTCTTTTATGTTACAGCTGTCCGAATATTTCAAATGGTTAGAATAAATACTTAAAATACTCGACAGAAGTAGTACATTATAAAACAATAGGATATATAAGATTATTAAAACTATTTACATTTCTCGCCTAGGTGACCCAATTACAAAAACACCAATCAAAATAATCCATATCGTTTTTCAATTTAGAAATAATAGTAAAAGAGGACTTATGTGATTTTTTAAAGTTATAAATACCTTGCAGCAGCAAAACCAATTGGACCCTTTTCACTCATCTTCATCTTGATCTTATATTAAAGCGTACATAATAATATAATAACACCATTATTGTAAAAATGTGTTGAGTGGTTTTATTATGCTTGATTAATAATATAGTAATACTTACAAATGGGTCACAAACCCTAACTTAGAACAGCTTTTGTTTTGCCAGGCTGTGAAAGATGCCTCCTTCTCTTTTTCTAACAGGACATTTAATTATATTTTTTGCTCGTTATTTCCTAAAAAAAGATTCCTCCTTACAGTTGTTTGATCTTCCGGAAAATAATTGTAAATCAGCTAGAAGAAAAATCAAGTCATTAAAATGTATAATCAAAAACAGGATTGAAAATTGTTAACCCCTCAATAATCTTTAATAACCTTATTAATGACATGAAAATGAACGAGTCACCTGCCAGATGTTTAATAAACTGGCTACCAAAAAGCATTTTTAATATATTATAATAGATCAAAACATAATTCGCTGGACTTGAACCAGTGACCTTGTCCTTGGATGCCCCCAGGTGAGGGCTGAAATACTTTCGTTTATTATCACTTAGAAAATCCAACAAGTGAGGTGCAATTGCTGGATTTCAAAGGGAGATTAATTATAGTTCTTGATGCCATCCACAAGAAAGTGGATAAACAATGAATGCATGGTCCCAGAATCGAACCTTGAGGCACTCCACGGATCATTGACAGAACATGAGAAAAGTATTTATTTTTTCCTCAAAATTAGAATTAAAGTTGACAATAGTGTCTAAATAAAATGAAATGGTATCAAGAGATGCCCTGAAGTCCAATCATACAGAACCAGGTCAGCCAACGTTGAGCAATAGCAAGCTGACGGAGATTCCTCATGCACAACAACCCTGCAACAACTTTCCAAATGTTTTGAAAGAATGAAGTGGTTTGGCTTTTAACCGTCCAATCCTATTCTATGGCTGTTATTCTTGTGGTTATTTCGGAGTGATTCCACGGCATAAACTAAACCATTGTGAACCTACAGAGGCGGTAGGTCAGACTGATATTTCAAAGATATTAAATTGGCTTTGGTCAACATGCATGCTCTTCATGTTTCACGGAAATGGCAGGCAGCAGTTTGACAACATTAACACCTTCAACACACCGCTCAACTCAATACAGTAGCTTTCATGCAGGATCTAATCAGGTGTCCTGTTAGTCACACTGCTGTATTTAGACATACAGAGTGATACAAAAGATGAGTATAAATGAAACTGAAAAACAGAAAACACCATGTTACTAAGTAAACACGTACAAAGGCACACTGCTATTATTTATTGGACTTAACAAAAATGCTCTTCCTGTGTTTTATTGAATGTACTCATTAATGCGTTATCCATTTGGTGGCTTGTACGATTCTAAACTAAAAACATCTATCTAAAATAATTTGATCTGTCTTTTATTTTTGTCATCACTCGTATCTTTACATATATTTAAAAGGAAACTTCAGGGGCCTAAAGGGTTCAAATGACAGTATTTAGACATTTTGCTACCTAAAGTCAACTGCAGAGGGTGCTGTACATTTCATGAGCTGGTAAGCATTCAAACATATTTCACAAGGCTGGTGAATTTGATTTACCCCTTTAAAGTTGTCTGTGACCAGACACACGATACGATACGATAATACTTTATTTGTCAGATCAAGTCTGAAATTTGACTTGTGTCACAGCAGCTCCATGTCCAACATCAACAGACAAGTATCCAGACACAATACATGAAACACAAACAACAAACATTTAACATAACAGCACAAACAGTGAGAGAAAAGCTGCTCAAAGAGCCTTCAGCGTGCATTTGATCTGGGATTTAGCTCTGTATTTACTGTGAGGATTGACTGATGCACAAAAGAGTGCTTCAGTCTGACTTTATTGAATCGTGGGACCCTGTATCTCCGAGTAGATGGTAGCAGTTCATATTCACTGTTCAGAAAACCTCTCATTTACTAGGGTTTGCAACATGTGTGTGTTAAATAGTACTCTTTATAATGAACAAAAACTGAAATGTGTTTTAGACAGTTGTGTTTATTGCAAAAGAGTTCTAACATCTTGCAATACACTAAACAGGATCTAAGAAACTGAATGTAATTTCATTTTAAAATTAGTTCTTGCAGTTGGCCCGGACATTCATATACACTTTGTCAGCTGGGAAGATGAAAAGAAAGACACAAAGAGAGTAATTAGTATTTGACAATCCAAATTTAACAAAGTTACACTTCATTTACTGAGTCCCAAAACATTGCAGATATTCACACACAACAGAAACAGATTTAAGCCTCATTTCCTCACCACTTTCTCTCTTCTGATGCCTTAAACTGGCACATCGGTAGGTGACAATGACAATGATAAGGGTCAGCAGCACATCAGCACAGATGATGCCTGCTATTGTCCCCGGCTCGATCCTGTAGCAAGACACTGCGTTCTCTGGCAAGCAAACACACACACACACACACACACACACACACACACACACACACACACACACACACACACACACACACACACACACACACACACACACACACACACACACACACACACACA